TGGATGAAGAAACTGAGGCAAACAAGGTTAAGTGACTTGCCCCAGGTCACACAGTTATTAAGTGTCTGAGGCCAGATTTGAACTCAGGCATTCCTAACTCTAGGCCCAGCACTCTATCCATTGTGTCACCTAGCTGCCTTTATAACCTTGGATACAGACTTCTTTCCCCTCTCTGGGTCTCACTTTACTCCTTTGTAAAATGACGTATTTGAGCTAGATGGTCTCTTAGACTCTTTCTAACTCTAAATCTTATTATCCTGTGACCTTTCCAGGTTCTGTGCAGTCTATAAGATCCCATAAAGGGATGAGGATCACCAAAGGATATGTGTTGTTGTTGTTTTAGCCTCTCTTTTGCATATATTTTCAATGAGTCAATAGTAACTCAGATTTAGCTACATGACATAGTGGACATAGTGCCTGGAATCAGGAAGACCTGAGTTCAGTCTAGCCTCAGACACTTACTAGCCATATGATCCTAGGCAAGTCACTTAACCTCTGTTGGCCTTAATCCACTGCAGAAGGAAATGGCAAACCACTCCAGTGTCTTTGTCAAGAAAACCCCATGGACAGTATGGAGCACAGGGTCACAACAAGTCATACACGACTGAATGACTGAACAACAACAGTAGTAACCCAGACAAGGCAACCAAGAAAGCTAACCTGATCCTGGACTGCCTTAAGAGAACATAGTGCCAAATGGAGGATGTTGATATCCCCCTGTACTCTGCCCTAGTCAGATCACATCTGGAATATTGTGTTGAGTTCTGAGCACCATTATTTAGGAAGGACTTTGATGAACTAGAGTATGTCTAGAGGAGAGTGTATTATTATGTAATATTATTACTATGTATTACTATGTCATAGTAACCCAGGGGCAGCTAGATGACGCAGTGGATATAGTGCCAGGTCTGGAGTCAGGAAGACCTGAGTTCAAATCCAGCCTCAGACACTTACTAGCTATGTGACCAGAATGGGGAGGGCACTGGAGATCAGGATATATGAAGACTGGATCTAGGAATGTTTAGTCTGGAGAAGACACACCTTAGGGGGATATCAGATGCTTGCTAGCTGTATGACCTTGAGAGAGTCATTGAACATCTCTGGGCCTCAGTTTCCTCATCTATAAAATAAAAAGGTGATTCAATGACTTCTAATATCCCTTCCCACTCTAAATCTATGATCTTTGGTTCTTATGAAGGCCAGCTATGAGGAAGAAGGATGCCATTTATTCAGGTTGGCTTCTAGAAGTAATAGTAGGGGCAGAAGCAGGGGGTGGGGTAGGGAGAATCAAAAAAGATAAATTTTAACTTAATGTAAGGAAATAATTACAGGTGTTTGAAAGCATAATGGACTGACTTGGAAGGTCATGAATTTCCCAAAACCAGAGATCTTCAAGCAGCAGCTGGATCATGATTTGTGAAGGCTGTTGTAGAGAGATTCCTTGTGTGGGATGGGTTAGACTACATGCCCAGTGAGGTCCCTTCTGGCTTTGAAATTCTGGGATTTCACGTGACAAGCCTAGGGTAAGAATCTGAAAAGCCCTGGATTAGGAGGCAGAGGAACTGGATCTGGGCCTGGCCTCTAATGCTCACTCTGTTACCTTGGGCAGATCAGTCTGTCTCTGGTCCTCAGATTCCTTATTTGCAAAATGATAGGACTGTTCGTACTACTTACCTCAACAGGTTGTAGTGAAGAAAACACTTTAAACTTTAAAATACTATGTAAATGTGGCCTGCTGTCATTACCCAGGCTTCCTCAAGTGGTGGGCCCCTTGGGAGCTATCCCAAGCTCAAGCCAGGCTTTGGGAGGTTCAGCATCCACTTAAAATTGTGGCTCATGAGCCTCCCTCCCTGTGCTTCCTTGCCAGACCAACCAGAGGACACACAAAAATTAATTCAATTGTATAGCAGAATAAATGACAAGGGAAAAATACCCCCATACCCGCAGGGGTACATTCTGCCCCAGATTTCCATACCATTGGATTGGGAGAGAAAACACATACGGGTAATGTGTGTGGCTAGGAAATACGTAGGGGAAAACACGTATATGGGGAAATGTAGTCAGGTAAACTCATGTTCGTAAAGAAGCTTTTTAGCTGGGACTCTTCTCCACTTTGGACACTGATGCTTGCTTGATACTACAAACTTGTAGGTTTCTTATCCTTGTGATGTTAACAGAAGACCAGAGAAGGAGAGGAGGAAGAAGGACCTGTGTGAGGTCAGCCAGACTCCTCCCCCTTCTACGCCTTCCTTGGAAAGGTAGGGAGAGGTTCTAGGAAGGACAGTGGCTGGGAACTTGTTCCAAGTAAGAGAAGATCCAGCCAGATCTAAACTGGAGTGGTTGTCAAGTTGGACTTGGCCAAATCACTTGTCTCTCTGGACAGCAGGCTTCCCATATGCAAAATGAAAGGGTTTTACTACACCAAGAGTTCTTAACTTGGGGTCCATGGATACCTGTGTGGTCAGTGGATAGGTTTCAAGGGGTCCATGAGCTTAGATAGGAAAAAAGTTACATCTTTGTTTTTGCTAACCTTTACTTGAAATTTAGCAGTATCTTCATTTATTTAAAGGGACCACAGGGATCCCCTGAGAAAGGGTCCATTGGCTTAACTAGACTATGAAAGGGGTGCATGACACAAAAAAATGCTAAGTATCCCTGCACTAGACAATCTGTAGGCCCTTTCTAATTCTTAGGTTCATAGCATTTAGCACTGGAAAGAGTGTTACATATTATGGTACAGTAGACAGAGCTCCAAACATGGAGTCAGAAAGACCTGAGTTCCAATCTGTCTTGTGACACTAGTTGCCTGAGCAAGGCAGTTAGCCCATTTAACTCAGTTTTCTCATCTGTAAAGTGGAGATTATAATAGCACCTACATCCCAGGACTGTTGTAAGGTCAAATGAGACAATAATTGTAAAACCCTTAGCACAGTGCCTGGCACAGAGCAGGTGCTATACAAAGTTAGCTATTATTATTATATCATATTGTTCAAACCCCTCATTTTATAGGTAAGAAAACTAAGGCCCAGAGAGACAAAGTCATTGCCAGGATAGGAAGTAGCACAGAGAGGATTTGAACTCAACTCCTCTAACTCCAATCCAGTGCCTTATCCACTAGGTTTGAGGACTGCTTGCAGCAGGCTTGAGGCAGGAGGAGTCTGGGTAACTTGGTCGGTTTCCTGAAGCTTTGTTGACCCAAGCCATGACTATGCATGGTATTGCTAAGCCATGGAGCTGATATCAGCTGCAACAAGGGCAGGAAACCACTGTGGGAATGAAAAGGATACTCTGGAGTTCCTGCCCCCGTCTTTCTCTCCTTCCCCTCCTGTCTAGTCAGAAAGGAGACTTCAGGGAGGGAAGCCAGACTCCTCCCCCTCCTAAGCCTTCCTTGGGAAGGTAGGCAGAGGTGCTAGGAAGGACAGTGGCTAGGAACTTGTTCCAAGTAGAAGTGTGTCTCTTAGAAAAAGACTTCCCATGGGGCAGCTAGGTGGAGCAGTGGATAGAGCACTAGCCCTGGATTCAGGAGGACCTGAGTGCAAATGTGACCACAGACACATAACACTTATGAGCTGTGTGGCCCTGGGCAAGTCACTTAATCCCATTGCCTAGCCAAAAAAAAAAAAAAAAAGACTTCCCAGGTCAAGTCTCTCCTCCCCCAGTCTAAGGTCAAGAACTAGGAGACTTTAGGCTACCAGGCAGTCCCTAGAGATTCTAGGCTTAAATGGTCCTTTTCTTGTTCAGGCTGTGAGTTCCTTTTTGGGAGATTCCAGACCTGCTCTTCAATCCTCCCCAGAGCATCCTTGAGCCTGAGTTTGCTCTTTCTCCCTCCCCTCTAGACCATGAGGTTCAAGAGGGCTGAGCCTGGATCATTTCCTCTTATCTCCACTGCCTGTGAAGTTCCAAAGGCTACATAAGTCATTGAGTGTGTTCTTCCTGTCTCTCCCATATTATAGATTATATAATGTGAGCACTAAAAGGGAACGTAAAACATACTCTTTCAGGAAGATATGGTGGTACGTACCTGTAATCCCTGCAAGGAGGGAGACTGAGACTGGCAGATCTCCTGAGCTTAGGAGTTCTAAGCTGCAGTGGGCTAAGCCAGTGGTCTGCACTAAGCATATGAGAGGTGGGGCCCAGCTCAGAAACCAGTCAAATGGGATTGGAAAAAGAAGGAAGGAAGAAAGGAAGAAAGAAGAAAAGAAAGAAAGAAAGAAAGAAAGAAAGAAAGAAAAAGAAAGAAAGAAAAAAGAAAGAAAGAAAAAGAAAGAAAGAAAGAAAGAAAAAAATAAAGGAAGAAAGAAAAAAGAAAGAAAAGAAAAAGAAACAAGGGAGTGAGGGAAGAAAGAAAGGAAGGAAGAAAAATGATTCTCAGACTTGAAAGAAATTTTCTCATCTAATCCAGAAGTTCTTAATCCATGGTCATGAACTTGTTTGTTTCTAAAAAAAATTTTTTTTGACAAATGTATTTCAATTGGTTTTCTTTGTAAAATCTTGTGTATTTTATTTTGTGCATTTAAAAATGATATTTTGAGAAGGGGTACAAAGGCTTTACCAGACTGCCAAAGAGGTCCATGACACAAAATAGATTAAGAACCCCAGCTCTAATTCAATATCCTCATTTTACAAATGGAGAAACTGAGACCAAAAGAGGCGAAGTGATTTGTCCAATGTCATATGGCTAGGGAAATAGAGACCCAAATTGGATACCAGCTGGGGTTTGGATTCCCAAGGCTTTGAGTCCCCAGGGATGGAATATGGATGGACCCATCTCTCACCTTATTGGGGTTCTAGTCACTGTACCAGGGTTGTAATGCCTCATTTTTTGGGCTGCCCAAGCCCCGGGAACAAAGAGAAAGAATGTATTTTCCCTTGCCTCTGGCTTCCTTGTCCCCAAATATCTAAGCAGGGGCTGGTCCACATTCACGTTAAATATAGACATAACTGGTATACAACTCTGATCTTCCCTCCTTCCCTTTTTCCTTCCCTCATGCCCAACTTAGATAAGCCACCCCTTTGTGCTGGGCTGCCTTATACAAGAAACTTTCGTGGTAGTCTACTTGTAGACTGATCGCTGATCTCCCTCCTGAGCCTGGGACCACCCTTCTCTGCCTCCTCCCGGTAAGCTTGGGACCTTGTCCACTGCCCCTTACCCACTCCAGCCCATCACCCATAGCACCCTCCCAGTCCAGCCTGGGACCTGAAAGCACCCTTCATCCCAGGCTGAAGCCTTCTATAGAACCTTAAAACTCAGTGTCACTTTGAGAGAAATGATTCTGCCCATCTCCCCTGAAATTCGTGGCAGGGGGAGATAAGGAGAGGAGGTACCAAGACCTCTTCCTAAGAAGACCTACAAATTGTCTGTGTCTTCCCCAATCCTTTTCTTCCTGAAATTCTGTCCTTGTCTTGCGTCTTCATGAAGCATTGGCCTGTTGGGGGATGGGCAGGAGGTATCCTCGCGTCTGAGGGGCAGAAGACCCACTTGTGCGTCCTCCCTCCCAGGGGAGGCTGTTTGTTGGGTGTGTAGATTGGAGAAGATGACTTCAGGAATGGAGAAGCCAGATTGGGGAGGGGTAGGCTTTCTCTCTCTTCCTCTGGGTTCCTGTGTGAACCACACAGGGTGTGAAGGGGTGACGAGGAAGCATTATAGCACAACAACAACAAAAAGAATGCTTTTTTTGGAGCCAGGAGGCCTGCCTGCCAGTCCTGACTCTTCCTTCCAATAACTTGCTGTATAACTTTACAGGTCCCTCCTCCTCTCTCAGCCTGAGTTCCTTCAACTGTTCTTACAGGAGACGGTTCTCAGTGTTTTTTAACCATCTTCGTTGCCCCTTCTCTGTATGCTCCCTGTTTGTCAATAACCTTCCTAAAATGTGGCATCTGAGAAATTTGATAACAAATATTTATTAAGCAAGGCATTGTTCTAAGTGATGGGGATAGGAAGAAGAAAACCAAATGTCTCTTCCTTTAAGGGGCTTACAATCTACTTCTCTGGAGGTAGTACTCTTTAGGAAAAAAATCCTCAGGGTAAGAGTGTCTGGGGATCGGATCCCTAAATGTTAGTATCCTATGACACCCAAATAACTGAGAAGAGGCTGAGTTACTAACCATGGCTGGGTTAATTGGGAAGGAATGAATGGGTGTCTCCTGGGCTGCCTAATGACCAGGGCTCGCTGGCCTCTTCTATTTGTTCCCAGACTCCTTTGAGGCTCCTAGAACACTTCTGTCAAGCATGGGGGATCAGAAGCAGGAGAAGAGGAGTTCCCCTGGCAAGGACTCTCTGACCCAGAACTGTGGGCAGAAGATTGATGAGTCTTCCAACTTGAGTCCCAGAAAGGAAAAGAACGACCATCTGGGGCTGGGAAACTTCAAGAGGGCGTTCTCATGGAAGAGTAAGCCAGATGTGGAACCTGGGGACCACGTGGTGGAGAAGAGGTCGGACCGCAGGAGTTCACGTTCCCTCCTCAACTCCTTCCAAAAGGCAGAGGAGAAAGAGGCAGACAGGTCTCAGAAGCCATCCAGTGGTCCTCAGATGAGACCGCAGGTGTCCTCTGAAACAGAGACTCTGAAGGAGGAGGAGTCCGAAGCAGGTGAGGCAAGCAATTAGGCCTGACCTGGCCAAGGCTTTCCCCACCCCCTATTTAATAGTACTTTGGGTTTTTTTCAATTATGTGTAAAGATATCTTTCAACATTCACTTCTATAAGATCTTGAGTTCCAAATTTTTTTCTCCCTCCCCAAGATGGCATGCAATCTGATATAGGTTATACATGTACAATTATATTAAACATTTTCACATTAGTCATGTTATGAAAGAAGAATCAGAACAAAAGGGAAAAAATATGAGAAAGAAAAAAAAGAGAGAAAATAGTCTGCTTCAATCTGTATTCAGATTGGTCTTTTCTCTGGATGTGGACAGCATTTTCCATCATGAGTCTTTTGGAAGTGTCTTAGATTATTGTATTACTGAGAAGAGCTAAGTCTATCAAAGTCGATCATCTCACAATGTTGCTGTTACTATGTACGATGTTCTCCTGGTTCTGCTCACTTCACTCAGCATCAGTTCATATAAGTCTTTCCAAGTTTTTCCAAACTCTCTGGCCAAGGCTTTTAGAGCTGACAAGTTACAATCATGACGTATTATGCATTTGCATAGCATTTTATAATTTATAAAGCACTTCAAAAATAAATATGCTTCATATACTACACAGTGCTTTAGCATCTATAAAACTTTACATACAGATTACAAGTTATTTTGTGATTTATGAAGTTTTTTAACAAAGTATTTCTAGTTTATTAAATACTTTATAGTTTTGAAGATGCTTTGCCACTTATAAAGGGTTTTATAGTTTGCCAAGCAATTCATTGTTTGTAAGCACTTTGTAGCTTACAGAACTTATATCAGTTACCCTGCTTTCTACCATTTAGTAGTTTCACAGCTTTATAAAGCACTTTACTGTTTACAGTTTGAGATGTGTCACAATTTACAGATCATTTTCCATTTTAAAAGGTATCATTTATTTTTTATTCTTAAATGTCTACAATGGGATTTGGAATTTATAAATCACTTCACTATTTATAAAGCATTTCACAGGCTTTAGAATGCTTTCTGTTCCATCATCTCATTGGACTCTCTTAACATCCTCCCCTTAGTGAGGGCACATCATTGCCCTTGAAATTCTCTCCTTTAAGTGCTTTTGGAGTGGGAAAAACACCTTAGTTCTGATTAGTTTAACTGAGACAATATAGGAATAGGAACAGGACCTCTGATTTCACTGATCTAGAGAATTCTTGGGTTGGGAAATTCCTTCTACCAATACAGGTTAGCATCTTTTCTGTTTGTCTTAGAGACTACATTGCCTTGAGAACTTAGAGGTTACATGACCTGCCCAGGGTCAGGATTTTTCAGAGCTATCCATTAGAAAGCAAAGAATAGGGAAAGAAAAAGATTACTAAGCCTTAGATTCCATTGGTATCAGTTGCTAAGGTTTTCCTTAGGAGAGTTCCTAGCATTGGTGATTTTCTGAACAAATCACATCATTCCGGGACAGCCTGAGGCCATTACAATGTGCTTGGGGCAGGGATAATGGCCCTTGACCCACAGTTGGATTGGTTCCCATTCCTTCAACTTAAAATTATTCAATACAAATGCTATTCTCAGGACTGAGGATAGAAAGATAGGTAGAACATAGTCCCTTCTCTTCAGGAGCTTATAATCTAATAGAAGAGGATAGGGCATTTGTACAAATCAGTACCCTACAAAAGAGAGTAAGATGAAGCTAGAGGAGAAATTCAAAGAGTTCTAAGACAATTTGGTGAGGGGCAGATAATTTTCAACCGGGTTCAACTGAGGCAAAGATGATTTTTTTTTCATAAAGAGCATACTAAACAAAGAAAAGCAAAGAGAATGCAAAATCTTAGCTAATAGGAAGGCATCATGGAGAATATAGACCCTGAAATTTGAGGGAAGAAAAGGATTTCAATAGATGGTCATGAGGAGGGGAAAGTGCATTGCAGACATAGGATATGGCTTCCATGTGTGTTTGGCAAAATAAGAGTGTGGAAGAGCTGGTCATCCAGTTCTGCAAGAAAGGAGAGAGCCTGAGAAAGAGAAAAGTGAAATAAAACTCGAAATGTAGGTCAGAGCAAGATTTTGGAAGGTCTTGAATGTCAAGCGAACTAGTTTTTATTTTATTCTAGAGGGAAAAGGGAGCTACTAAAGTTATCTGAGCAGGACAGTGGCATAGTCAAAACTGTGTATCGGGAAAATAATTTTAGTAGCCGTTTGAAGGATGGATTGGAGAAAGGAAACCTAAAAGTAGAGCGACCAGTGAGGAGGCTATTATGACAGTTTAGATAAGAGATGATGAGGGATAGAACTAGAGATGGTAGCAAAGTGAGTGGAGAAGGGGTTGAATTCAAGAAATGGAAACTCCCCTTTTGACATAACCGTGCCCAGGTCCAGTCAATCCTGAGATGACGTGGAAGAGGGCCAGTGTCTCACTGATTGGCCTTCCCAACCCCACTGGTGTCATGGACAGGTAGGTATCAGCTCTCTAAGAAGCTGGATATTTCCAGCAAAGAAGATTCTAAATATGGCGGTGAGGGGTGGAGACCAGTTACAGAGAAGGGGCAGGGCAGTGTGAGATAAGGCAGGAAGAGGTTTTTAGAATAGATACAGCCTGTCACAAGAAGGAACCAGTCCAGAGGACCACCATAACTTGCTTTACAGGATTGTTATGAGAAAAGGGCTTTGTAAACTTCAACAGTCGTGATGTATAAAAAGTTCAAGAGATATAATTTCTGGGTAATAAATCATTTTGTTAATAATGCTAACATATTATTAATAAAAGGATGGTCATTTGGCCGGCTCTTTTAGACCAAAGACCCCTCATGGAACCTATTCAATGCTTATATGTCCTTGGAAGAGTGGGTGTTCCTGAGGGTAGAAATCAACTTTGATTGGTTAACAATCAATGAAGGAATATTATAATGAGAGGTGGACCTATTCTAATGAGGGTCTGGGGCACATGACTTTGATCACTCAGTTTTGGTCAAAGAGGATTATTTGTATCCATATCACCCTTCTGACAAAACGGATAATCCACATTTTCCCAGACCTGTCTGAGTAAAACACAAGATAAGATAGTCTAGGTGGGGTAAAATTTTGGCAGAGGTCAGTAATGTCCTTGAAAGTCTGGACTTCGAACAAGGAAATAGGATAGGGAAAAAGCCTGGATCTCCCCCATAATTGGTTATCAAGAATCATTTCTCTCAGTGCTGGATAAATATGAGCTTTTCTTTCATTGTACGAAGTTTGATTTGAGGACTAGCTACGGACAGATGGTGGAGAGTCAGCATGATTTTGGACTACCTGTGCAACTGATGGAGAGACAGTCAGGTGACACAGCAGATAGAGCACTAGGCCTAGAGTCAGGAAGACCCAAATTCAAATCCTTCCTAGATGTGTGACTTTGGGCAAGTCACTTGTCTGCCTCAGTTTCTTCAACTGTGAAATGGGGATAATAATAGTGCTTACCTCCCAAGATTGTTATGAGGATCAAATGAGATACTGTAAAGCACTTAAAATAGTCTTGGAAAATAGTAGGAGCTTAATAAATGCTTATTACCTTCTTTCCTGTTTTGTGGAGCAAAGGGTAGACTAAATTAGAAAGACCTGGGTTAAAATCCCACTTGAGATACTTATTAGCTGTAGGACGGTAGACCAGGTCTCAGAAGCCATCCAGTGGTTCTCAGATGAGATATCAGGTGTCCTCTGAAACAGAGCCTCTGGAGGAGGAGGAGTCTGAAGCAGTTGAGGCCAGCAATCAGGTCTGACCCGGCCAAGGCTTTTAGTGCTAATAAGTCACAACCATGACACATTATATATTCACATAGAATTTTACAGTTTATAAAGCACTTCAAAAATAAATATGCTCTACACTATAAAGTGCTTTACCATTTATAAAACTCTTTACATCCAGTTTGCAGGGTATTTTATGATTTAATCTCTGTTCCCTCATCTGTAAAATAAGAGCGTTTGAGTCAACAGCCCCTAAGGTCCCTTCTGGTTCTCTGTGACCCTGTGAACTCTGTGACAGGCCGATGTCCCCAGAGTCACCCGGTGGTATTTTTTATTAATTATAGTTGGAGGGAAATAATCTTTCGAGTAGTTTCAAGCTCAAAAGCCTATGATCCTATAACTTGGAGACCCCAAATCCTGCTCCCTGGTTGTTGAGTTGCAATGGGGTTCTTCTCCCTTTCTCTTCAGATTCCTTCAACAAGACACTGCCAGCAAGAGCAGGGGACCCCCAGCAAGAGAAACAAAGAACCCCCAGCAAGCTTTGCTCTCCAACCCAGAGCCAGAGGGGTGGTGAAGATTCCACAAACTCTTGCCCTGGAAAGGAGGATGACAGCGTTCTCGGGCTGGCCAACTTCAAGAGGGCTTTTTTAAGGATGAGCAAGAGGGAAGGTAGCCCTGGGGGCCCGGCAGCAGAGGACAGCAGCTTTCGTCGAAAGAGCTCACGCTTCCTTAGGCCTTTCAGGAAAAATGAGGAGGACGTGACCAACCGAGTTCCAAGGTCCTCTGAAGAAGAACCCCTGGAGATCAAAATGGAGGTGGAGGAAGGTAAGGGGAACCGCAACCGGTGATCAGAACAGCAGTCCCTCCCATGTCGTCCTGATGGCTCACCCCTTCTGGAGGGATTTATTTGTGCTTTTACAGTTTACCAAGTGTTTTCATTTCCCCTGTCTCACGGCCACCACCTTAACGTAGGCGCCATTGCCTCTCCCTTAGACTATTCTCAAAGACCCCTAACTGGTCTCCCTGCCTCCAAGTTCTTCCCCTCTCCAATCCATCTTCCTAATGTTTAAGTTTCATGAGGCAGGAAATGTCTCTAAAACCTTCAGAGGATCCCCATAGTTTATAGGATCAACTAAATTCCTTGGCCTGGCCTTCAAGGCTCACCACAATTGGGCTCCAGCCTTGTTTCTGTCTCTTCCCCTGTGCTAGCATCATGCCTGCACAGAGTAGGCACACGGTAAATGTGTACTAAATAATAAAAATAATAATAGCTTCGATTTAATTCACATGTATTAAGAGTTTACTATGTGCCAGGCACTCTGCTAAGTACTGGGAATACAGACAAGAAAAAGAAAGATAGCTTTTGCCCTCAAAGAGCTTACAATCTAATGAATTAACTTTTATACGACACCTTGAGGTTTACAAAGCACTTCTCAATTGAACTGAACTTCATAGCTTAAAATATACTTTACTACTGACAAAACACTTTTCAATTTACCAAGGGCTAGGCCTACAGTTTATAATATGCTTTCTGACCTATTACTTCCCTTGGTTTTATTTGGGGTGCTAGGTGGCTCCATGGTGCATAGAGTACCAGGCCTGGAGTCAGGAAGACTCGTCTTTGTGAGTTCAAATCCAGCCTCAGACACTTACTAGCTGTGAGACCCTGGGCAAGTCACTTAACCCTGTTTGCCTCAGTTTCCTCATCTGTAAAATGAGCTATAGAAGGAAATGACAAACCACTCCAGGATCTTTGCCAAGAAAACTTCAAATGAGGTTATGAAGAGTCAGACACGACTGAAAAAATGACTTTGGTTTTGCTTCCTACAAAACAGGTACTCAACAAAGCTTTTTTCAAATTGCTTTGTTCCTCGTAACAAATTCACGAGATAGGGCAGGGATTATTATCCCCATTTTACAGAAGAGGAAACTGAGGCCCTCAAAGGGAAAGTCACCTTGGCAGGAAGTCAACTGTCAAAGCTGGTCTATTGGCTTCGGGGCCAGGGCTGTGTCTCCTGCCCCCAAGTACTTACCATTATTCTCTTTGGGCAGAAAAGCCAGTGTCTGATCTCATTGCTGAACGGCAGCTGCTGAAAGCCTTTTCCCAGCTATACCAGCTGGAGGCCAGCCTTGTGGAGGACCAGCACTCGGGGCGGTTCAAGGACAACGTGACAGCCTACGCTCGCCAAGCCATGGACATCTGTGTTCACTACGACGTGATGGCGGCCGAGATCAGGAACATCGTGGGTGAGACTCTGAGCCGGCCCAGGGTGGACTCAGAAGCTCTGCTGTGCATGGCACAGCTGATCGAGAAGGAGGAGGAGGTTCACCCGGGGGGCCTGCCTGACAGCGACTTCCTGAGAGCTCCTCGGAAGTGGAGGCCCCTGTGGGAGGAGGCGGTGAAGAAGAGTGCCTTGGATGAGGTGGGGAAGGTGGGCCAGGGCATGAGTGAACCTCGCCTGGCCAGCCTCCTCGCCCACCTGGGCAGGGTGGTCAAGCAGGACCTCGTGAAGATCCGGCGGGAGGTGCAGCCCTGCTACCCGGAGGACTTCCCTGTGTGGAGGACCTACGTGGATGCCTTCCATGGAGCTGTGTCTGCCCGGCTTCAGGAGCTCTTGCAGGAGGCTCAAGGCTTTGAGCAGCTTTATGTGATAATGGACTGGGTAGCCAACGTCTACTGCGGGTGAGTCACTCTGGGCTCCGCACTTGCAGGATGAGGTGGAGGGAAGAATCATGGAGCATGTGGCTGGAAGGGACAAAGGATCACAGGTCTGCCTCAGAGGCTGTTGAGGCCAACCGCCTCATTTTATAGGGAAGGAAGTTAAGTGACTAGCCCAAGGTCATATAGATAGCAAGCATCTGAGGTGGGATATGAAGCCAAGCCCTCTGATGCCAGAGCCAGTGTTCTTTCCACTGTACCATTGCTTCCTATGTCCTAAGGGAGCCAAGGCAAGGCGAGTCAATCAACAAACATTTATTAAGAACCTACTATGTGCCAGGCACTACATTAAATGCTAAGGGTAGAAAGAAAGACAAAAATACAGTCTCTGCTCTCAAGGAACTCACAGTGTAACGGGAGAGACATTCAAACAACTATGTTTAGACAAGCTGTAGACAGGATAAATTGGAGATATCCAATTGATGTAAGGTTTATATGTGTAGATTACCAATCAGATCTTGGCTCAGCCCCCATCCTAGCAGGAAAATTGATCCCTTTTGTTATTTCAGAGGCTGGCTGTAGATTTCATTTGATTCACCCAAGAATATTTTATGTAGAACTTTAATCAGAATGTTAGAAATGAATGAAGTAAATAACATTCACTAACTCAGCATCATCAACCCTAGCAGCCCATATGATCCTCTGTAGACTAGCCAATAACACCCTCCTCCTTGTCACCTTGGGGCAGCTAGATGGTGCTGTGGATAGAGTGCTGGGCCTGGAGTCAGGAAGACTCATCTTTATGAGCTCAAATCCAGCCTCAGGTGCTTACTAGCTGGATAACTGTGGGAAATCACTTAACCCTGTTTGCCTCAGTTCCTCATCCGTAAAATGAGCTGGAGAAGGAAATGACAAACCACTCCAGTATCTCTGCCAAGAAAGCCCCAAATGGTGTGACAAAAAGATGAACATGACTAAAATGACTGAACAACAACAAAACCTTGCCACCGTATTGTGAGGCAGGTTGAAAAGCCCCAGAGTCTCAGTTCCCCATCCCAGTCACTCTCTGGGGGAATTGGTGAGATGTTCTTCATGGCATTTTTCCACTCTTGATGAAACCTGGGTCAGTACTCAGTCTGTGACAGTAATTCTGAAAGTCAAGTGTTTCTGCTGGTCACCTGACACAGTCTGGGCTCGAGTAAGCAGAGTACTTAACTGTGCTGTGCATTCATTGGGCAGGCCCAGTTTCTGATTCTTGGTTTCCAGGGTTTTTCTGGAGTACTCATTTAATGCAATGTAAATGTAGAGGAGGAGATTTTTTTTCCCCCTCGGGCATAACAGAGAGAGTCTCCCAAAAGGGGAAAGAAGCAGGGAGGAAGGAAGCAATTGAAGCATTTATATATTATCTACTATGTGTCAGCTATCTTAAGGTTGTCGTGTTTTTTAAACAAATGCTCAGATTCTCAGAATCTGAGACTCACAACAACCCCGGGAATAGGAGCTATTATTATCCCCATGTTACAGTTGAGGAAACTGAGCCAAACAGGGGTTAAGTGAGTTGTACAGGGTCACACAGCTTGTAATCAATTAATAAACCTTTATTAAGTGCCTACTATGTATCAGGCCCTGTGCTAAGCACTGGGCATACAAAAAGAGGCAAAAGACAGTCCTTGTCCTCAAGGAGCTTACAATCTAATGGTAAGTGTCGGAGGCCAGATTTAAACTCAAGACTTCCTGATTTAAGGGTCAGTTCTCTATCTACAGAACCACCAGCTGGCTCCTAAATGGTCAGAGAGAAAGAACACATAGGATTTCTTTCTTTTTTTTCTTTTTTTTTTTTTGGCTAGGCAATGGGGTTAAATGACTTGCCCATGGTCACACAGCTAGTGAGTGTTATGTGTCTGAGGTCGGATTTGAGTTCAGGTCCTCCTGACTCTAGGGCTGGTGCTCTATACTCTATGCCACCTAGCTGCCCCATAGGATTTCTTAAAAGGGTACCATTCCCCTCAGCTCCCTCTGTCATGGCCAGTTCACTGAAGAATCAGTTCCAGGTCTTAGAGTACTGCCCCTCTGCTTGTGTTTCTCCACTCTAATTCTGCTTCACTTGCTGCCATGGTTTCTGGTTAACCTCTCTGTTCTTGGCATGCTTCCCATTTCTTGTCTGAGTCACCTGTGTCTACCATTCACTGCTTGTTGCCTTGAGGTGGCTTAAGCCCCAAAGGACTCATGGATTCTCTATTAAAATCTTGGCAAAAGAAAGACATTTAAGTGAAAATTTCCAGCTTATCTGAGCTCCCTTTAAAATTGCCATAAGGTGGCCCTGGAATCAGGAGGACCTGTGTTCAAAACTGGCCTCAGACACTTACTAACTGGGGGGCCTTGGGGCAAGTCACTTAATCCTGATTGCCCCTGCCCAAAATACAATCACTGTAAGAACAAGAAGAAATTTAGCCACAAGAAACAAAATATGATCAAGAATACAAACCCGTCTATCCTTCCCATATGAGGATGCAACCAGGTTGCACTTGGAGGTGTGGTCTCCATAACAGTCCCAAGTGTCCTCAGAGGTCAGAAAGAATATTTAGGGGCTCAGGACAGTTCAGTAAGTCAGTTCTTCCTCTGCTCTGCCAAAGCCCTCAAATTGTATTGACCTTTCCTAGATGCTGAGTGAACTGATCATTTGTTCTGACTTGGGCAAGCTCATATTGCCAAGGATGTGGCAAGTGGGTTGTGTTAGGAAGTACCCTTGGCTGAGTCAGGATATCTGGATTCTAGTCCAAACTCTGCTACTAGCTTCCAGTGTGACCTTGGACAAGTCCTTTCCTGTTGCCAGTCTCTGTTTTCTCCTATTTAAAATGAGGAGGTGGCAGTAGATGATATCAGAAGTCCTCTCTTGCTCAAAATCTTGTGAGTAGAGAATACCATGATTAAAAGGAATGTCTCGGGCAGAGTTAGTTTCCATCATGACCAAGATGATGTATGAGGGGAAAGGAGTGTGAGAAGGGAAGGATTAACACAGCCAGGCACCAAGAAGGGGCTCCTCAGTCACCAGTTAATCCCACCATCCCTTTACTTGTCCTGGGCCTTGCCTTTTCCTATTTGGTCAATCAGACAATCAACATTTATTAAACATTCACTATATCCCAGGCACTGTGCTAAGCACTAAGGATACAAAGAAAGCCAAAGATGGTCCCTGCTCTGAAGGAAGTTCACAGTCAAATGGGAGAGACCACTATGTGGTGTTGTTGTTCAGTCATTTTTCAATCTTGTCTGACTCTTCATGACCCCATTTGGGGTTTTCTCGGCAAAAATACTGCCATTTCCTTCGCCAGCTCATTTTACAGATGAGGAAACTGAGGCAAACAGGATGAAGGGTCATCCAGGGTCACACAGCTAATAAGTGTCTGAGGCCAGTACTACATACAACTACAATGTACAAACAAGATAGATACAAGATAAATTAGAGATGTTTTTAGAGGGAAAGTTCTAGGATTAGGACAGATCAGGAAAGGTTTCTTTTAAAATGTGATATTTTAGCTGGGACTTGAAGCCAGGGAAGCCAGATAAGTCAGGTAGAGAGATGAGGAGGGAGAAATTCCAAGCATAAGAGACAGCCAATGAAAATGCATGCAGTCTGGAGATGGAGTATCTTGTTTGAGGAAAAGCAAGGAAGCCCATATCACTGGATTGCTAAGCATATAAGGGTGAGTAAGGTGAATGAAGACTGGAATGGTAGGAGGGATCCAGGTTGTCAAGGGCTTTGAATGCCAAACAAACAATTTTATATTTGATCCTGGAGGTGATAGGGAGCCACTGGGTTCATTAAATAGGGGGTGACATGATTGGACCTGAGCTTTAGGAAGCTTAATTTGATAGCTAAGCAGAGAATGGACTGGAGGGGGGAGAGAATAAAGGCAAGGAGACCAACAGCAGGCTATTACAATAATCCAGATATGAGATGATGACACCAGGGTGGTGGCAATGTCAGAGGAGAGAATGGGGCATATATAAGAGATCTTACGAAGGTAAAATTGACAGGACTTAGCAGTAGATTGGTAGTGGGGTAGGGGGTAAGAGAGAGTGAGGAGTTGAGGATGACCCCAACATTATGAGCCTGGGGGACTTGGGAGGATAATAATAATAGTGAAATTTATAAGGAGGGGAAGGTTTCAGGGGGAAGGTGAGTGGAGTTTAAGACATCCAGTCCGAGATGTCCGACAGAAAGCTGGAGATGCTAGTCTGGAGGTTAGGGAAGAGTTTAGGGCTAGATAAGTAGATCAGAGAATCATCAGCATAGAGATGATGATTGAATCCATGAGAGGTTACAAGATCACTAAGCAAAATAGCATGATGGGAGAAGAGAAGAAGGCCCAAGCCAGAGTTCCAGGGGACACCCTCCATTAGCGACTGTGACCCGAATGAAGATCCAGCAAAGGAGGCTGAGAAGAAATAATCAGATGGGTAGGAGGAAAGCCAAGATAGAGTAGAGACATGGAAATCTAGAGAGAAGAGAGTATCGAAGAAAATAATAGCTAATGGCTAACATTAATATAGCACTTACTATTGTACCAGGCACTGTGCTAAGTGCTTTAAAATTTTTATCTCCTTTGATCTTCATAACAACCCTGGAAGGCAGCTGCTATTATTACCTCCACTTTACAAATAAGGACACTGAGGCAAATGGAGATTAAGTGACTTGCCCAAAGTCACACAGCTAGTAAGGGCCACGTTTGAACTCTGGTCACCCTGACTCCAGGCTCAGTGCTCTATCCACTGCACCACCTAAGAGGGTAATTGACAGTGTAGAAGCTATAGAGGTTAAGAAAGATGAGGACTGAATAAAGGCCATTAGATTTGGCAATTAAGAGATTGTTGGTAACTTTGAAGAGAGCAGCTTCAGTTTAATGATCAGAAGCCAGACTGTAGAATTAATGAAAGAGAGGAAAGGAAGTAAACACTGGGATTACATACGGCCCACTCAAGGAATATAGCCACCAAAGGGAGGAGAGATGGGCTGATAGCTATCAGGCATGGGCAGATCCAGGGAGAATATTTTGAAGATGGGGGATACATGGCCATGTTGGTAGGCAAAAGGAAAGTAGCCAGTAGACAGGGAGAGATTGAAGCTACATGAGAGAGTGGGGCTGATAGGATGAACAATGTCCGGGAGAAGATATGATTAAGTGGGATCACCTGAGTATGTGAAGGTAAGGAGAAGGGTCACCTCTTCATGTGAGACAAGAGTTAAGGAGGAGATAGTGATAGAAGGAGGAGGGGAGAAGAGGGTGCCCTTGACAAATGGCTTCAATTTCTTTCAGTGAAGTACAAGGCAAGGTTCTTGAGTGAGAATGTGGGTGGAGAAGGATCTGGTCCCCCTTGAGGAAGGATGAAAATGTTTGGAAAAGCCACTGTGTGGAGTGGGATAGTGAGTCAATTAGGGAGATATAAAAAGTTGCTTCGATGCAGTGAGGGCCCAGTTGAAGTTATGTAACATAAACTTGTAAGGGACCCAGTCAGTATGGTTTCATGATTTTCTTATTTCGTTAAGTAGCATGTAAGAGCAAAGGCAGTAGTGATGGGAGTAATCCAATGCTAAGGCTTGAGAGGGCAAAACCTTCAATAGGATAAGGGGGTAAGGAATTCAAGGGAAGAGAAAAGTGTAGAGTTGAACTGGCACACCAACGGGTCAAGACGGGGAAGGGAAGAGAGTATAAACAACACAGGGGTGATGGTCTGGAAAAGAACTGAGGGATGGAGGGATTTGAGCAAGGTCATGGTGAGGATGAACAGGATTTGGAATTTGGGGTCGCAAGGAAGAGGGAAAAGTGGAATGACAACAGATTGAGATCAGATAAGGGAATTTCAGAGCTCATGAACATGGAAGTGGTGCATTTGTGGGTGATGGCAAGAGCAAGGTTATGACCACTCTGTGTGTCCTCCTAGCAAGGACTTCCTGGGCTCCTTGGATCTGGAGTTAGATGTGACTACAATGCCAAAGCTGCTGGCACCTGAGGTATGGGAGAAACTAGAAAGTGACTACACCAAGTTCCTGGAGGTAAGACCCATGGCTGGTGGGGGGAAGGGAGGGTAGACATGGACAGCCAGCTCCTATGTAGAGAGAACTGGGTGATGGGGGGGTCATCAGGGCTTTGCCAAGGGTGATTAGATTTAGAGAGTACTGACAGCACTTACTTCCATTAGGTAGAAATAAATGAGCTTAACTTTTAGATAGCAAGAAAATAATTAGTGAGAACAGGAAGCTCCCAAATGGTACCACTCTTTAGCACAGGCCTGCGGACCGCGTGCAGCCCGCCAAAGGATTTCTGGCAGTTGTCACATGACCCACGGCAACCAACCATCATCAGTCTTATATCCTTGTGATTAGTCAAAAAGATTTATTTCTGTGTGAATTTTGATATGGAGCTCCTTAATCAGATTTGAGGATGCTGCCATTTCAAAGATGTTAGCCCAAACTTAAGCTGTGTGGTGTAGTTGAAAGAGTGGTGAACCTGGAGTTAGAACATAGCAGCTCAAATCCCAACTTCTCCTCCCAATGTTTGCTTCACCATGGCAAGTCTCTGGGCCTCAGTTTATTTTGCTTTTTTGGGGGGTGGGGTGGGGCATTGGGGTTAAGTGACTTGCTCAGGGTCACACAGCTAGTAAGTGTCTGAGGTCAGATTTGAACTCAGGTCCTCCAGACTCCAGGGCTGGTGCACTATCCACTGTGCCCCCTAGCTGCCCTTAGCCTCAGTTCCCTTGTCTGCAAAATGTGGGGTTGGACTAGATGACCTTAAAATTCCCTTCTAGATCTAAAAGCTATCATCCTATGAAGAAGTTTAGATGGGATTTGATGAAGAATTTCTTGACAGTAAATAATCAAAGGAATGGGTTATATTGAGGTTAATTATACCAGCAGGAATCTTCTTCACTAGGTTCCTTTTTCTTCTAATTAACTTTCAGCTATGTTTTTTTAAAAAAAATTATAATCGTTTCCCAATATGGCACCATGCTGCATTGAATATTCTGTTTTAATAAACAAAAATTTGAGTAAAACTTAACCACCAGAATGGTGACTGTATATGCAATATATGCAACATTCCACAGCCATAGTCCTTCTGTCTTTCTAATGACAGAAGGGCCAAGACGGATTTGGAATCAGAAGGCCCAAGTTCAAATCCCAGTTCTTCTGCTTAGTACCTTAGGCAAGTCATGCAACTTCTCTGGGCCTCAGTTTCCTCATCTAAAAAATGAAGAGGTTGGATGCAATATCTCCTCTAATTCTAAATCTGTGTTCTGTGATTCTGTAACTCTCCCTACCCCAGGAACTATCTATATCCCAGAGAAGATCCTCCCTTGTTTGCCCTGGTCCTCCTCCATCCACAAATGGTAGCCACCCCAACTGCATCCGTGGTATGTTGTGTTCTTGAGGTCTGAAGTTTTTCCAGTTGAATTTGCCTTAGAGCTTACCTCAGGAATGCTTTGTGGTACTTGCCCTGTCTCCAAAATTGGTAGCTATGGTTCTGCTGTGAGGGCTTCCATGTCAACAATCCAACCCTGGACTTTAGAGCTGATTGATCAGCGTCAGCTTCCCAGGCCCTCAACTCCTTTATTGTGATTCAACCAATCAGTAAGCATTTATGAAGTGCCTACTATGTACCAGCCACTATGCTGGACACAGAGAATACAAATGAAAAGAACCAAACAATACCTACTCACTAAGAGCTTACATCCTAATTGGGAAGACATGCATGTATATTTATTGTTCAGTGGTTTATCAGTCATGTCTGACTCTTTGTGATTCAAAGATACTGGAGTGGTTTGCCATTTCCTTCTCCAGCTCATTTTTACAGGTGAGGAAACTGAGGCAAACAGGGTTAAGTGACTTGCCCAGGGTCTCACAGCTAGTAAGTGTCTGAGGCTAGATTTGAATTCACAAAGATGAGTCTTCCTGACTCTAAGCCCGGCACTCTATCCACTGAGCCACCTAGCTGCCCAGTATGTATATAATTACATGCAAAATAAATATAAAGGGAATAAAGACAAATAAATACAAAGTAATTAAATACAACGTAGTCTGATAGGGAGAGCACTAGCAGCTGGGTGTTCATGCAGAAGTGCTTAAGCTATAGCTTGAAAGAAGAGAGGGATTCTATGAGGCAGAGGTGTCATTACAGATATGGGGAGATGGCCAGGGGCAAGGACATAGAGATGGCAAATGGGATATTTGTGTAAGGAATGGAGAGAAGGCCAATTTGGCTAGATCACAGAAGAAGTAATAGTTGAAGGGGCTAGAAAAGTGGGTGGGGGCCAGATTGTGAAAGGCTTTGACAGTTAAACATGAGAGTTTGTATTCCACCCCAGAGGCAATAGGAAGTCACTGGAGTTGATTGAGTAAGGGAGTGACATGACCAGATCTGCACACAAGAAAAAGCACTTTGCCTGACATATACAAGATGAACTGGAGTGGTGAAATGAGACAGGGAGAATGAAGAGAAGGCTAGTGCATTAATCTAAGTGAGAGCGGAGGACGATCTGAACTAAAATGATTGCTATGTGAGTAGAGAGAAGGGATTGGATGTGGGAGATATGAAGGTAGAAACAGCAAGATGTGACAATTGATTGGAGAGGTAGAGTGAGAGAGAATGAAAAGTCAAGGATAATGCCAACGTTAAAAATCTGGGAGACTGAAGAATAGTGATGCCTTTGAAAGAAACAGTGAAATTTGGAAGAGGAGAGGGTTCAAGGGGAAAGAGAGTTCAGTTTTGGACATGTCGCATTTGAGATGTCTGCAGGACATCTTATTTGATGTGTCCAATGGGAAATTGGTGGTTCAGTACTGAAGCTCAGGAGAGGATAGGGCTGGATATATGATTAGTGAGTCATCAGCCTACAGATGATGGTTAAATTCATGGGAACTCGTGAGTTTGTCAAGATGGATATTATAGACAGAGAAAAGGGCCTACCACAAACTCTTGGGGAATATCCACAGTTAGGGGTTATGGGATGGGCAATGAACCAGCAAAGGAGGTGGAGGAGAGATCATATGGGCAGGAGGAGAACCAGGAGAGAGTCGTGTCACAAAAACCCAGAGAAGAAGGAGTATCTAGGGGAGCTTTGCATCCATTCCCAGGGCTTTAAATGTTCACTAATTTCTAGGACAAGAGAAACTCATTGATAAGACAATAGAATGTGAGAGTTAGAAGGGACCTTAGGTGGTATGCTCACTTGCAGCTGGCTCTTTCTTATAAGAATCAGATCTATAACAGCTTTTCCTTTTGTTAGGTTCTCTACCTTCTGATGAATGGTACTGTCATTAAGGCTCATCAAGAAATTATTACACTCTGTTCTTGGCAGAGAATATCCTCTAGCAGATGTCCAGTTAGTATTAATTATCCCATTATTACTATATCAGGCCTCCAAGCCAGGCTTAGGATCTCATTTTGTTCAGGTGGTCTGTATTACACTCTGATGACACATTGCTTTTGTTTCTACCTCTGTCTTTACCCAAACACTCTTTACCATATGTCCCTGTTCAGCCTCTTCAAAATTTCCCCGTATTCATTTATCTTCTTTTTTTCCTTCTTCAGAAACCGATATATTTTGTTTGAAACCAGTTATTTCCTCAAAAATGACATGCTCTTCCCCACAGTATCTTCTCATTTTAAAAAAGAAGTCATGCAAAACTACCTAATAGAATGATTGTGACTAATGATATGACACATTACATTTATGCAGTTTGTCATCTGTTAATAGATAAGAACATGCATATTAACTTCAGTAATTTGGAATAACCATTTTCTGATGTATTTGACTTGGATTTTCTTGCTATTTAGTGCTATTTTCATTTAGACTATTGTAATAAGTGAAAGAATATTTTTATATATTCCTTTATTTTAGTCATTGACCCCTTTGCAGTATAAACCTCATAATGTGTCTACTATACCAAAGGAGATAAACAATTCAGCAACTTTTTCTGTGTAGTTTCAAATTGTTTTTCAGGTTGATTTGATCAACTTGTAGCTGCATCAGAAATGAATTAATGTGCCTACCTATCCATAACCCTGGCCACATTGGATTTTTCCATTTTTTCATATCCTGGTTAACTTGTTCAGCCAATTTGTTTTATTATTAGTGATTGTGAACAGTTTTTCACATAGTTGTTGATAGTTTACTTTTCTGCTTTTGAAGACCATTTGCTCATATTTTTTGACTAGTTGGCTCTTAATCAATGCTCTATAATTTTGACTGTCAAACTTTTATCAAACATGTTTGATGCAAATATTTTCCCCCATTTAATACCATTTCTCATTTTTGTTCATGCAAAACTTCTTTTCAATGGATAAAAACTTATTTTTTTCTTCTTCCCACTTCCCACACCAATTGAAAAAGAAAACAAAACAAAATTCTTGCATCAAATGTGCATAAATAAATAACACAAATTCCTATATTAGCTGTGTTAAAAATATACATCATTCTGTATTCTGAGTCCATCCCTCTCAAGACGTAGGTGGGCAACATTGGTGTTCTGGAATCATTGTTGGTTATTGTGTATTTCAGAGTTCTTAAGTTGTTAAGAGCAGTGGTGTTTAAGAGATGTTGTTGTCATTTCAATCATGTCTGACTCTTTGTGATCCCATCTGGTGTTTTCTTGGAAAAGATGCTTGAGTAGTTTGCCATTTCCTTCTCCAGCTCATTTTATAGATGAGGAAACAGGCAAATAGGGTTAAGTGGCTTGCCCAGGGTCACCAACTAGTAAGCGTCTGAAGCCAGATTTGAACTCATGAAGATGAGTCTTCCTGACTCTAGGCTCAGCGCTCTATCCACTCCACCTCCTAGTGGCCCAGAGGCTGGATAACCCCGGGATTTCTATATGATAAGAGTTTGGACTAGATGCCACAAAGGCATAGACAGGGTCTTAGGGCTCCTTTATCTTTGGAACCAAGCGAGGGAAGGTGCAAAGTGATGTGGGCACATATGAAACCTTGGGTCTGATGTGGGTGCATCTTGGCATTTGGGTCTGTTCTCTCTCTCAGGAGAATTGGTACTGTCCTAACCATTACCTGTAGCCAGGAAACATACTCATAAACCTGTCTTCACTCACAAAATTAGGCTTTATCCTTGGGGGAAACAGACAGAAATTCAAGGAAGGAAAAGTCTGTCTGTTCCAACTGATGGCAACACTGGGTCAAAGAATTTAGAGATGAAAGGCACTATGGGGGTGGAAAAGGGGGGAAATAGGAAAAAGAGACAGAGGAGAGAGAGAGAGATTTTGTGTGTGTGTGTGTGTGTGTGTGAGAGAGAGAGAGAGAGAGAGAGAGAGAGAGAGAGAGAGAGAGAGAGAGAGAGAGAGAGAGAAGTAAGAGTAGGGAGGGAGACAGAGGCAGAGATAGAAACAGAGACAGAGACAGGAGGGAGGGAGAGAAAGAGAAAGAAAAGAGAAAGAAGAGGGAGGGAGATAGAGTGACAGAAAGAGTACAGAGAAAGAGAGAGAGTGAAAGAACTTCTTTCCCCTTTTCTTTTCCTCTTTAGACCAAGATCAACAACTGCTTTGACAGCATTCTGAAGCTGGAACTGGACCGGTGGTCAGAAAGAGAGGGCCCTCCCCTGCTTCAGGGTCTCTACCACTCCCCAATCTCCATTGACATTCACATGGTGGGTAATAATAATAGAATTGATAAGTTTCTATTTCTGTAGCACTCTGAGATTTCCAAGGCATATTCCTTACAACAATACAGGGTGAGAGTGCGAATATTATTATGCCCATTTTACAGATGAAGAAACAGAGGCTCAGAAACATTAAGTGATTTGCCTAAAGTCACCCAAGTAAGTGAGGAATAATTTGGGAAGGGGGTAAAACCAGGGCAAGGGGTATCATTGAGAATGAGGAAGGTGATGATCCTTGATGTTCTCCCTGCTTAGAGTTCATCTGAAGTTATGTTCTGGAAACCAATTCTAGGAAAAACATCGACAACTTGGAGTGGGTCTGGAGGAAGGCAAACAAGATGGTATGAGTACTCAAGACCAAGCCATGTGACGATCAGTTAAAAAAAAAAAACCAATGATGGTTAGCCCTGAGAACACTTGAGATCACAGGAGAATTTACCTCTCAGTAATAATAGTTCACACTCATATGATATTTAAGGTTCACAAACAACAGTACTCACAATATCCCTATGAGTAAGAAGTGCAGGTCTTATCATCCCCATTTTACAGATGAGAAAACAGGCTCTGAAAACTGAAGTGTCTTACCCAGGGTCATACACTTGCACAGCTGGAACTTGAACCCATACCTCCTGACTCCGAGTCCATTGCTCTGTCTACTATCCTATACTGCTTCTTTAGAAATAGAATGGCTCTCAAAAATATTTTGAAGAGGGGTTTCAGAAGAAGGGACCACTGAGGCCATTTAATCTATCTCATATCTGAACAAGAATCACTTCTATGATAACCCCCCAAAAATAGTAGGTATTTTGCTTGAAGACCACCAGTGAAGGGGACTCCACTAGTTACGGAAGCCCTCTTGGCCAACTTTAGTTTGGCAAGAATTTCTTTCTTACCTCTAACCTAAATATGCCTGTCTACAGCTTCTCGTCGCTGTTTCTAGTCATCTCCTCTGGAGCCAAGCAGAGCAAGTCTCTTTCCCATGACAGCCCTCATTGCATTTTAAGACTTATTCTATTTGACCAGGAAACAGAAGTGAAGTTCTACAAGAAGGAAGATTTTAGCTCAATACAAGGAAGAACTTTCTTACAATTGTAGCTGTCCAACAATGCAAACAGGCTGCCTCAGGCGAGATGGTGCTACTTACCTGTCCGATAGGCTGTGGAGGGAGAATCCTTTACTGGCAAAGAAGGTTGGACTGGATACCTATGGCCTCGAGGCCACATGTGGTCTTATAGGTCGTCAAGTGAGTCCCTTTGATAGAAGGGCACAGGTTTCCCACCCTGGACTGAAATATTCTGGGGGACCCTTCCAACTCCCAAGATTATAAGATTCTGTGACCCTAACCTCTTTGTTCCTCCATTTCCTCATATGTAAAACGAGGCAATGATATCCGTGTTCTTATATAGTTGCACATGAAGTAAGTCCTTTTAAAACTGAAAATACTATAAAAATAAGAGCTATTATTTATTATATTCTAAGATTATAAGCAACTATCAGCCTCGAGGCCACAGGTTCCCCACTCCTGAGCTAGATGATGCAATGGCTAGAGTACTGGACCTGGAATCAGGAAGACCTGAGTTCAAAGTCAATTGATCTCTGGGAACCTCAGTTTTCTCACCTATAAAATGGGGATAATAATAGCACCTACCTACCAAATTGTTGTGAGGCTAAAATGAGATAATATATGTAAAGCACTTTGCAAATCTTGAAATGCTATATAAATGCTAGCTGTTATTATTATAGTTGCATGGGAACAGATAAGGTAGAGAAAATAGATCTGGCATTTCTACTGACTGGGAGGAAAAGGGAGCAAATGTTCCT